ACGATACAGTTGTCTACATAGAAAACTCTGGGAGAATCAAGAAACAATTATAACTGAGCAAGACTGGTCCTTGTTAGATCCACTTGGTAAAATCATTAGCATTCCTATATCTAGAAGTAAATAAATAGAAAACATAAATAGAAAAACTAGCGAATTCAAGGCTAGCCCTGTAATAGTGTTTTACTCACATTTCTTGGGTGGGAAGTGAAAGTTGGTATACTAGGCATAAACAATTAGACTATCTTGTCTGTGACACAGCCCACATTCTTGGTATACTCTAAGTTTCCAATATGTGAATGTCTCCAGCATAGTATCAGAGCAGAAAAAAATGTTGAGAATGCTCCATTATTTTAGACCAAGCAATTGGTCTATGACCATTGGTCTATGGTCTATGACCATTGGTCTAAGCAATTGGTCTATGACATATGATGTCAGGTCATTCACCTATTCATTCAATTTATATTTGTTTTGAGCACCTATCATGTACTGAGCATATTCTAGGCACTGTTGGAATAGGGGTTGACAAAGCAGATACAGGACTTGCTCCTGTGGGACTTACATTCTAATGAAGACAGACAATAACATTTTTAAAAATCCTGTTGGTGATAAATGCTACAAAGAAAACAGGGTATGAGTATTTACAGGGACAGTGAGGTTGGCCCCTTGCTGAAGAGCTTGTATTTGAGCTGAGACCCCAGTGATGAACACAAGGGTGGGCTTGTGTCGATCTAAGGGACTGGCCTCTCAGGCTAAGGGAACAGCTAGGATCAAGGTGGAGAAGAAGCAGAGGCACTGGAGTGTCTGAAACCCAGCGAGAGAATTAAGTGATGAGAAATGAAGCTGGGGAAGTAGCCAGAGGCTGGACCATGGTGAGAACTTTAGTTTTAGTTTTTGTTCTGAGTATAAATGGAAGTCACCAAAGGATTTTAAGCAGGGGAATGCATATCTTTCAGCGGAAGCAGAGAGAGCAGTTTTGGACTCTTGTGGCGGTTCCGGTGATAAATGATAATGGGTGGTCACAACTAGGGGCATATCAGTGGGGGTGGTGTTAAGCTGCCAGACTTTAAATAAAAATTCTAAAGCCAGTTGGCCTTGCTGATAGACTGCACGTGGTATACCAGGAAAGAGGAGTCAAAGATGACTCCTAGACTTGAATTTGAGCATCTGAGAGAATCTTGACATTCCTAGAGATCAGGATCCATTGAAGAAGTCCTGAAGGGATAGGGGCTTGTTCAGACAGAAGAGGAGCCTGCAAGACTACTGCACAACAGAGGCCAGGAAGTCTTGTTTGGTGTGGTTCCAGAGAGAAGTGAGATCAGCAGATGACAGTTACACGGTGGGCAGTGGCCGGCTCATTAGGAGAAAGGACTTTAGGTTCATTTGTGACCGGCTGGGCCCCACTGATAAGGGTGCCTTCCGTGTCATGCGCCTGTCCTAAGTGTTCCCAGAGGCTGGGTGACCCTCATCCTACAGAGCAGGAAAGCCGATGCCATAACTGAATGAATGTCTGGCTACATGGCCACTCCCATTTCAGCCCTAGAATTGTCCGCTTCTTGTGATAAGATAAAGCTCCCAGTGGGGTCCTGAGTGTTCTAGCACTCTCCACACACAGTACCATTAGCTACTGGCAATGGGACTGTCAGTTCAATAAAGTGACTTGCCCACCACACTATAAAAAAATAGCCAGCAGCATGTTCCTTCACTATCCTAATCATCAGACCACACAGAAGCACAGCCAGTAAACTAATTTATGCATAAATGTGTGCCAAGACCTGCTAAATAGCCTTGTTAACATAAAACAAACACAATCTTTTTTTTTTTTTTTCCCCAATTTCATGGGAGCTGCTCATGTACTGTTTGTCTTTCCCCTGGGCAGGACTGGCATTGCTCTGATGTCTGTCCTATTGGTCACATTTCGTGGGGTGTTTGAGGATTGTTCATATGATGTGACATTGGAATTTTGGGGACGTGGCTGTCTTCAGATGACAAATGAACTTAGATAAAAATCATTTTTCATGTGTGTGCTTACACGTTTGGGAGCCAGCTATCACTCCACCGTCAGGTGCTTTTCTGTCCTGACTCCTGAGTTTGCTCACTAATATGCACCAGCACAACACTACACAGACCTCAATGCCATTTCTCGCAAGTCCATGGGTTGATTCCTCACGTAGCACCATCACAGAGCACACCAAACCACGTGGGACGGGCCAGCCACCGACTGTTGTGAGGTCACATTAGGATTCTGTTTTATTTTATCTAAATTTAAAACTTGCTCCTTCTCCAGTCAACCTTTTTTTCTCCACCAGAATGAATGAATGAATGAATGAATAGATGGATGCATGCATGGATGTGTGGAGTGACACTTGATTTCATGGTCAAAGACTTCAAATAGAGAAATCTTACAACCCTTCCTTCAACTACCGTAAAGATGGAAGAGAGCTTTTTTTTTTTTTTTTTTTTTTTACTTTTCAAAAACATATTTACATAGAAATAAATGTATATAAACCTATAGGTTGTTTGAGGGTTTTCCGATAGATGGAAGGTCACACATTGTTCCTTGGGTTTTTATTTAACTCCGTCCAGGAGAGCTTCCATTTTAACACATAAGCAGCTACTCCGTTCTTCCTAACCTCTGGCGGGAGTGTAAGTACTCCACGCACTCATTATTAGATGTTTGGGATGATTTCCCCTGTTTCGGCTATTAAAAACTTTGTGTGTGTGTTCTAATTGGAAAGATTTGAATTCAACTTTAAGAAATCCTTTTGAGCCATAATTATTCAAGCGCGATGCCAGGCATGAGTATTTGTACGAAGCAGATTTGTGCCCTCGCTTAGGCGTACTTTAAGTCTCGATACACGCCGTTGTGCGAGTTTATACTTTTACAGCCTACGGACATCCCCGTTTCCCCACATCCTCACCAGTGTTGGGCATGACCCATATTTTCAGTATTTGGTGATCTGATGAATTGAACAAATAGATCACATTACTTAATTTGTTGTTCCCTAACTACTAAGTTACTGATGAGTATGACTGTCTTAGAGAGGGGAATCTAGATTTTGTGCATTGCTTATCCTTATCCCTGGCCTATTTTTAAGTTGGGCTATTTTTTTTTTCACACTGTTCTGCTATAGAATACTTCTATAATATGGACCCTAATCTTGTGTTGTTAGTGTAAAATTCTCTCAGCCTCTCTCATCTTTAATTCTGTTTATTGTGTATTCTGTGTTACAGAGGTTTTAATATTTAATTATTAATCTTTGTGGATTCACATGCCTATTTTTTCCCAAGGCACATGAATTTGGGTTTCACTTTGGAAATTTGTTTCTACCCCCTGAGCTTTAGAACTAGTCTCCTATCTCTATTATTACTTCCATCATTTTTTTCATGTTTACAGCTTTAATTCATCTGTTATTTATTTATTGTGTGATGTGAAGGGATCATTCCATCTGTTTGTAACTCACCCATTCTGCACTGATTTTTGAATGCCCTTTGACTCATCTGTTAACTTCCCATATATGCATGGACACATTTCCGGACTCTGCCAATGATCCATTTATCTGGTTCTATGCTAATTACATACTGTTTTACTACTGTAATTTTATAGTATGTTTTGGTATCTAGTATATCAGATTCTCATTATTCCTTTTTTTCAAAATTGTCTTGCTATATATTTTTTCTTTCATATAAACATCAGAACAAGTGTGTTACTTTTTTATAAGTGTGTCATTTTTTGAATTGCTTTAAAACTGGGTATAGGGAAAAGCTTTCTACCTATGGTTCAAAGTCCAGATGCAGTAAAAGATTTACATAATCTGAATGCACACATAAAAACGGTTTTGCATAAGAGAAGTCAAAAGGCAAATGACAGAAAATATGTACACTTACCATGAATAAAGGACTAATACTAAAATGTAAATCATAATAATGCCACTTCAGTGCAGTGTGAAGTAAGTGGTTGTGCTTAGTACCTCTAATGGTTCTAAAAGTTACATCAGGTATATTAATTTTAGTGTTACATCATGTATATAGTATGTATAACAAGTGTTAGTGCTCCTCCTCTCTGAAATTCATCTCACCACTTCAGACCTCTTGTGGGAAAGTACATTTGTACTAGACAGGTCACAACTAAATTCTGAGACACTATCGGGACCTACAACTAAGATGGGCCACTTTGTCTTCTATTGTCTTCCTGTATTCACAGAACAAACCTCTTTTTGACTTCCTATCTGCTCTCGCTCATCATTGTGGCATCTTAATATCCTTCAGCATAATTTGTCCACCCCTGTGGATCATAATAGTAATTAGTAAGTTAACTATAATTTAATTTGTAATTCCATCAGTGCTGCCAACCCACTGCATTCCTCTCTCATCCTCCTACAAGCAGGGCTGGGAGCAGTACCGTCTCCTGCATCCCTAGCTTATCCTGGACCAGGGGACTTCTTGTGACTTTGATGAAATAACAGGCTTTCAAACAGACGGGACTTCAGAGCTCACTAGTCCAGCTTCTTCAACTGAAAGATGTAGACATGAGTTGTAGAAACGAACTCTGTACTCTGCATGAAGTACTCAGCTAGGTAGATAGGATAGATACACGGCCTAGAATGTGTAGTGCTGTATGGGAAACTTACATATTTATATAGACTTTGCCTTGTACCAGAGAGTATTTTCTGTAGCTAGCAGAGATTAGAATTCTGGTCTCTCATGCCACAGACCGGCAAACTTTCCACCCTAACACAATACCTTGCCGTGATGGCAACACCCTAAGTCCCGTATCTATAGGAATATGTGCCTGCTGAGCCCTTAAAATGTGGCTAGTGTGATGGGGGAACTGAATTATTTATTTAATTTTAAATAGCCACATGTGCTATGCGGACATGTAGACAAGGCAGCTCTAAGCCATTTAAGACTTTAAAATAGGACCTTGCATGTATACAAAAAGGTGGTTATTTTACTGTATGGTTGGCCATTATAAATACTAAACCACTTTTCTCTTTCTCTAGATTCAATCACTCAGCACAAGGTCTGTGCCTTTGACAACTATCTGTTGCCGCAATGATGGGGCCATCAGTCAATACCACGGGGCTACCGCCAACAGCTCACAAAGTTGTCTTTGGACATTCACATGAGCAAACACTCAAGAGAAGGGATGGATGCAGAAACGATGCCTTTTTATATCATCACACATGTGCCTTGTGGTTTTTATATAAAGAAGCTCCTCCATGTGACTTTCTGATGACTGAATGTGTGCTTTACAGAAGCACTGACCAGCCCTATTTGGGCCTTTTCTATGTAATGCCAATCTTAGTATTTTAGTGATGATCACGATTAAGAGGTCATAGAACCTTGTTCATGGAAGCACCATACTGTTAAATAAAGAGTAGGAATTCATTTAAGTTGTTTTATTACTGAGATCAAAGAACCCCTTAAGTTTCTGGGTTGGACTCGAAGATCTTTACTGACATGTCATATCCTAGTACTAAGGATATCAATCAGTGATTAGGGTTACTTTTTACCTACCTGAGATTCTTCTCAAAATAATTAATGAAAACAGATGTGGGAGCTTGGCAGTAATTAATGCCACCAGAGGAGCCCTACTTCTCCAGGTTAGTTTATGGTGAGGAGAGCATTACCAACAAGAGATCATGGCCTCCACTGGCTGTACAATGCTTGCCATTCCTTAGAGGAAATTGGCAGTGGGGCTGAATCATATACACACTGACTGGTCCCCTTCTAAAGGAGAGAAATGCTAAGTCCCAAGAAGGCTGGAGGTACCACCAAGACTTCCTGCTGATACTATACCCTCCCCATGTTATCTGTTCCTCATCTCCACTGTTACTCCCTTAATAAATTTCAAGTCTCTCAACAAATACAGTGGAACAGCTTCTAGAATAAACCTTCAAAGAAGGAGATAGCAATGCACAGGGAAATAAAGGTTTCCTCTTAGTTTTAACATAATCTATGCCCCAAACAATCCCCTCAACTCAGCAAGCACCAGTCCCCTCCTTCCACGTTATAAACCCTGTTTCACTATGTCCACAGGCATTGTGGGCTTGGCTACTTTGAAGCTCAGGTACTTTGGCAGAGCTCCCACAACACCAAAGATTCCTGAGGAGGCTGACAAAAATTGTGCTGAGTCTTATTGGGGACCATCCCCTACCCCATCAGCCACAGACGACCACCCAGGTCTGCATCTCAGTGCCAAGTTCTGATCCCTAATGCTGGCCTGCCAGTGGCTGGTCGAGATTCTTTCTAAAAGGTAACATTTTATGAGGGTGCTGATTTGTGTCAGGAATTACACAAAGCATTGTATATATGGTAGTTCATTTAATCTCCTAACAATCCCAGAAGTTAGTAGCTACAGGTCTGTAATCCCTTACCTAAAACATAGTCCCAGGACTCTAATTTTTTTTTTTTTTTTAATTTTGAAAGGTATGTGGCTCTCAGCATTTCTATATAAGATTGTATTGCTGATTACACCTAGAGAAGGCAGCAAGAAAAAGGAATTAAGGCATGAAGATTTGAAATGAAGAAGTAAAACTATTCTCAAAGGTTACTATTACATATAGAACATTATAAGGAATCAAAGATAATACCGAATGAATAAGCAAGGTAAGCAAGATTTATAGGGTACAAAATCAATATACAAGCACTGGATGTTATATGCAAACAATGAATCATGGAACACTACATCAAAAACTAATGATGTATGGTGATTAACATAACATAATAAAATTTTTAAAAAAGGAAAAAAAACTTTCTGTATGCTGCAATAAACAATTCAAAAATGGAATTAAGAAAACAATTACATTTACTATGGCAACTAAAAATAAACCCAATAGGAAAAAATTTCAGGAAATGTAAGACCTTTATACTGAAACCTATCATTGCTGAGAAAAATGGAGAAATATGCCAAGTTTTCAGATTAGAAGACTCAATATTGATGTCAGTTCTCCTCAAATTCATCTATAGATTAAATGTAATCATCAAAATCCCAAAATCATCAAAATCCCAGGCTTTTTTTGTTGAGTTTGAAAAGCTGGTGCTAAAATTGATATGAAAATGCAAAGAACCCCTAGTAGACAAAACAATTTTTTAGAAAAAGCAATGTTGGAAAATTTACACTGCTGGATTTCAAAATGTACTATAAAATTATAGCAATCAAGAAGTGTGGTGTTGGCATAAAAGTGGAATGCAGATCAAGGGAACAAAATAGAGAATCTAAGTATAAATCTTAATATCTATGGTCAGTTGATTTTCAGCAAAGGTGCCAGGCCATGCAATGCAGTAGGATATTCCTTACAACAAATGTCATGGAAAAAGAAAAACGAGAAGAAAAAAATGCATATATATGTCCTTTACATGCAAAAAAAATGTGTAGATCCTTACCTCACACCGTACACAAAAATTAACTTGAAATGGACCAGAAACCCAACTTAGGGCTTGTCAACCTCAGCACTACTGACATCTTGGACCAGATAATTCTTTGCTGTTGGGAGGCTGTCCCGTGCATTGTGGTATGTTTAGCACCATCACCGACCTCTACCTATTAGGCATTAGTAGCACACTCCACCCAGTTCTGACAATCCAAAAGGTCTCCAGGTATTCCCAAATGTTCTCTGGAGAGCAAAACTGCTCCCATCTGAGAACCACTGACCTAACATAAAACTAAAATTATAAAATGTCTAGAAGAAACCACAGCAAGAAATCTTTTTCACCTTAGATTAGGCAAAGATGTCTTTGATATGAAGTAGATACTAAAGGCACAATTCACAAATTGGACCTCAAAGTTACTTTTTGTGTGTGTGTGTGCTCCTCAAAAGAAACCATTAAGCAAATGAAAAGACAAGCCACAGACTAGGAGAAAATGTTTGCAAACAATATATCTGATAAAGCAATTTTATTTAGACTGTGTAAAGAACTTCTATCCATTAAGAAGATAAAGAATGGACAAAAGACATTTCCTGCAAGAACATATAGAAATGATTATAAACACAAAAAGAGGCTCAACATTATTAGTCACTGGAGAAACAAGTTAAAAGCACAACGAGATACCACACACACCCTTTGGAATGGCTATAACCAACAACTGTGACCATACCAATATGTGGAGAAACTAGAACCCTCATGCATTGCTGGTGTGACTGTAAAATGGTACAGTCACTTTGAAACCTGTTCGGCAGTTTCTTTTAAAAATTAAATCTACAAAAAAAAAAAAAAATTAAACATGTACCATATGACCCAGCAACTTTATTACTAGAGAAATGAAAATGTGTCTACACCAGGAATTGTACACAAATGTTCCCAGCAACTTTATTCACAACAGCCAAAAACTTGAAGCAATCCATCAACTGAGAAATGGATAAACAAAATGTGGCATATCCATGCCATACAAAAGAATCCACTACTGAGAGCATGCCACAACACGAATCATCCCTAAAGAAACACAACAAGTGAAAGAAGCCAGACTCAAAAGATTACATGTTATATGATGCTATTGAGATGAAAATGCTAGAGTAGGCAAAACCATAAAAGCGGAAAGACAGATGAATGTTCCTGCACTGGGGATAGGAGTAGGAAGAGAGAGCTAACATTTTGGGGTGATGGAAATATTCTGAAACTGGATCATGATTTTTGTTGTACAACCATAAACATTTACTAAAATCATTGAACGGCACACTTTCCCCAGGCAAATTTTATGGTGCATAAATTATACGTCATTAAAGCTGTTTAAAAGAAGAAACAGCTATGTGGAAATTGTGGCATAGTACCTCTCAGATCGCACTTCACAAAGAACCCTCTATTCAGCTGTAATGAGTACAGTTAGCTGACAGCCTCCAGCGGTCAGTACTTTGGCCTCATCCTCTCAAGCCAAGGCCTTGTTCTTTCTGGACAGTCAGTCCCCAGCCAAGACCTGAGCCCAGTGGGGCTCAGGAACCCGGCTAACCCTGCCAATACAAGAATCTGCAAGGTGTCCTGCAGGCTTTCCTTATGGGATCCTGCTTCATTCCCTCCCCCGGTATTTCCCACAGGAGTTATCCCCAGTAAGACTCTGGCTCTTCTAACTCCTGCCAGGGTCAGCTACTTGGTGGCCCACCCAACACAAAGTACTGTGATGCATACAAGCCCCTGTGAACCCTGGGGCAGCAGCCTGTAATCTAATATTTCTTCAATGATGCATCGATTTAAGTGGGATACATAGAACTATTCATAGTCCCATCTATATTCAGGTCAGATTTGCCTCTAATTCATTTACAAAACCTATTTTTCAGACCTTTTGGACTTTGGAGTTGTGGTTAAGGGACTGTGGGACTCATTATCTATGAATACTCTGCTTTCTGGAAATTACATTACTTGCACAGACTCACATAAACCTGTTGATGGGAGAACTGGTGTTTGAATGTCCCTACATGGTGCTGCAAGCTCACTTAGGCTCAGCAGTGCAACTCTGAGGATGTCTGGTAGACAGGTAAGAATCAATTTTAAAATATTTAGTGCCCACCACATGCAGATCACTATTCTAAATGCTGTTTATGTTTTGTGTCCAGTAGACCTCATTACCACATGGTCCTTAAACTTGAAATCAAAGTATTTCCAAGAAACCTTAATTAGCAATTATTTCCAGCTTTTTTTAAATAGGAAAACTTCATTCAAATGAGGTTGCATGAAAGTTGAAATAGGTAAAACAGATCACTGATTAAACTCTCTGATTAAAAATTGGGAGGGGAAGCGGGAAGGTTATAGATCCTTACCCAAGGATCCTGTCCTTCCTCCCCCCAAGGATAAACTCTACTATGTCTCTGTAAATACTTATGAGATAGCCCCATCTAGGCCAGTCCTTTACTGACAAAGAAGCTGACACCTCCAAAACCATTCAACCAGTGAGCAGTAATTCTATGAAAAGAACCTAAACATCAGGACTCCTTATCCACAATATTTTCTCTTTTTGCACCCAAGATGACACAATCCAAAATTATCTATACATAAAAGATATAGTCAAACACCACACATCTGAAAGATGAATCACAAATGAGATTTCATCTGATGCAATTAAAGCTTCTTTGTGTTGTGAAAGCCACTCCCATTATTTTGTGTATACACTGCGGTGTTTTTGGATAGATCATTTTCTACCATATGTCATATTAAGTATTACCAACACATCGTGTTTTTAGAAATGCCATTTAATGGCTTCAGAGATTTAATTTCCTCATAGAAATTATCATTACAATAGGGGCACCTGGGTGGCTCACTTGGTTAAACATCTGACTCTTAGTTTCAGCTCAGGTCATGATCTCAAGGGTTGTGAGATTGAGACCCCTGCATCTGGCTGGGGGCTCAGCCGAGACCCTGCTTGAGATTCTCTCCCTCTGCTCCTCCCCTGACTTGGGC